TTACTAAATCTAAAAGTATATCAGGAATTAATCAGATATCTGTATTTCTTACTATTATTTAATATAGATAGTTAAAAAATTGGGGTCTAAAATTTTTGAATCTACATTAGGCGACACAAATTAATATAATTGATTTTCATATCCCAGCCAGGTCACTAAAATGAGGTTTGGAAATTTTTTTTTTTAATATAACCAACCAATAGAATTCATTAATTTCCAAACCACGAGACCAACCTTAAGTCGTAATTATGCAGTAATTTCACGATAATTCCATTTTTATAAAGTAATTCTTACGTACGAAATTACTTTGCCTATCCTTAAGTACAAAATTACTTTGTCTATCCTTAAGTAGTATACACAAATGAGTACCCAAATTAAGACCGCAGGGGATAATGATAGTGTCTTTATTCTATTATTATCCAATTGTTAAATATCTCCTTTGGTTCTAATTCGGGTACCTGTTTGTAGAACACTATCCGTAAGCTATACATACATAATAGTTGCCTTTCTAAATTTGAGATTTCTTGCACTTTGCAATTTTTTTGATCAGTTTTGATTCACCATATCAGATGTGTAATTAATCCACAATAATTAAATATGGTATGTATATAGCCAAATAGGTCAAATCATTTCGTAATACGTGTTACTTTGGTCGTCAAACAAATTTTTTTAATGCCATTATCTTTATTAAACTTCTGGGAACAAGTCTTAAAAAAATATATATATACTTTATATTATGTCATTAAGTGTGTTAACAAAATTACTAGATAAAGTTATGAAATTAAATTCTTCAGGTGGCCAAGTTCGATAGGGTGAAAGTCTATGAATTGATTTACAGGTTTTTCTTTTTTGTCATTTGTATCGTAAATTACTAACTAATGTATCAAGTATTTACAATGCTAGAAATGTACCCAGGGTATCTTTTTTCATTTTGCTTTGCCAAAGATATTTTCATGACATAGAAGTACTGCTTTTTGAACTAAACATTGTATAAAAAAAATTTTAACCTGGGAATAAATCATGAATTAGCAGTCTATGGTACTTAAAGCATACTCTGATAGTAAGTAATAATAAAATTAAATTAAAGATTTCATTTTATTTATTATAATAAATAATAAAGTACAAGAACTAACCAAATGTCAAAAAAAAAAAAAATATGAAACATATTATAAAGAGAATCCAGAAGAACTATGTTATAAAAAGGAATAAAATTGGAAATTTAAAAAAATGATATAAAAATATATTGAGAAAAACAATAGTAATATAATTAATATGTGAAGAGTCAAAATATTATTAGAGATATATTAAAATGTTTTATTTTAATTTTTTAAAAATAAAGTGAAGTTAAGCTTTAACACGCTTTCGTTTGTTTTTGTTATCCTTAGTATACTTTGAAGATTTCTTTGGATTACCAGGGTTAACTCCACAGTTGCTGCAACGTGGATGTTCATCTTTTGCAGGTCTAGAAACATCTAAGCACCCACATTCAATGCAAACGTCTAGGTAAATCCTAGCTGAATAATATGGTTTTTCAATTTTCGCTGCACATAACAATGAGTCATTAACAAAGACTCTTGAAAAAGCTCGTAAATAGGATCTACCATATTAATATCAGACTCTTCTACACTTTCATCAGACTCTTCTGCACCTTCTCTGGGCTCTTTATCATCTGAACTTTCAGATTCTGTTAGATCATTTTCATCTTCTTTATTAGTATCCTCTTGATCAGTTTCTTTATCACCTTCCTTATCACCTTCTTTATTAGAACTACTATCATTTTCTATATCGTCATAGATATCTTGTTGTTTTGGTAGTGCAGATATCATCAAATCATATGTGTTATAGAATGACATACCACAGGTATAAAAAATTGTATCTAAAAACCTACGCAACAATGACTTATTCTTTTCTGAGAGCTTTTTTGCACTAAATAGAAGATGTGGTTTCTCATATTTAATACAATTTATGGTAATACCAACATTTTTTGCACGTGTGGCAGAGGGGCTAAATGGTATAGAATGTTTGGTTTTTACCTTGATTGCCTTTTTTTTCGCATCAAATTTTATAAATGAAGGT